GGTACCACGCGGGTTTTGGCGCCAATTTTGGGGATGGGGGCCCGTAAGTGCATGTAGATTATACCCTCACAGTTTCAGCTTCGTAGCTTTTGCCGGTCTCGAGATGAAAAATCGGTACAGACGAACACACAGACAACCTCTCGTCAATATGCGTTTTCTGCATTGCATAGCTGCAAAAAAACGCATAAAAACTGAGAGGCTGAAATTTTGGGTATGTGTTTCTACCCCATGCGTCATCCTCCCGTTTTAAAATTTTCGCTCATACGCACTTAGATCTCGCGTACGGACCCTTGAAAAAAATGTGCAAATTTCTTTGGCAGGAAACGATTTCGCAAACCAGGGCAACGTACAATGCTAAAAATTTGCAGGGATTTTCTCTGGCCATATGCGAGCTAAAAATTTCAAATTCAGCTATCGCGCGCGCTTGTGTAGTGCGTACGATCACGTCAAATTTCACAACTTAGTACTGTGTTAATCGAAAACTTGCTGGAAAACAGTGGCCGAAATTCTGTCAGCCTGCTTACGTCCATATGGGGAAATGTATACCTAAATTGAGTTGCGAGTTGCACTTACGCCACGACTTAAAGCACTTCAAAGATATTTGTAGCAAAGTGACTATTTCGCTTACCGGGTAAAGTACGAGGCTGAAACTTCGCTGGAATATTCTACTTTCAAATGCGGTCTTAATTTTGCTTGAAATTGAAATTCCCTGCAGGTAGGCGTGAGAGATACCCAACTTCGCCGAAAAATCAGAAACGAATGCATTTTGCAGCGAACGACCGCCGTCATCCTCTCTCAACTTGTAAATGAACTCATTTGCATATTTGGATTTTTTGACAAATGATCGCTCTAGCAATATTTCCAATTTTCAGTGAACTGGAAATTTGCATTTTTTCGAAAGGCGAGCATTTACAAGAAATGCGACTGGGCTCCATGCAAAAAACTGATAATCATGTGCCTGAAAGTCTACGCTGTCGTAATAACGCAACATCTTCATCTCAGCCGATGCTCTTTCTGCTGCATGTCGAAAGAGGCCAGAACACGGCCAATATGAGCCCATTTGTTAGGCTACAGCGCAGGATCATTCCAGCTACTAGCGATCTGCGAATTTAGTGCAAAAACGTATAATTGCACTGGCAAGCCGGGTGCGTTCCAGCTTGGATTATAATATCAGGGTATTTCATTTTGCCAGTGTCCACTGATGATTCGTTTTACTGCTAGTTTGGTAGTGGGATAAGCCAGGGCCATCATTTTGCTTAAAGAATCACCTACAACTTTGCCAGTGGGTAGTTCTTGCTGCCAGTAATGCTCTTCAGGTAAATTGTGAGTGCTTCTTACTCTCACTGAAAATAAATGATTGAAGAAGTTTGACTTCAACTTTTAATTTTTTGGGAAATTTTCATAGATTTTCCAGGAGAAAAAATCATTGAAAGCCGGTTTTATTGTGCATTTGCTGTGCAGCGCTTTGACGCTGCTACAGTAAGCAAAAACGCGTATTGGCAAGAGGCTGTTTGTGCGTGTGTCTGTATGTTTTCACTTTTTTTTCACCCACCTTCAACTCGAGAACCAGAAAAGCTAGGAAGTTGAAGCTTCGAGATTATGTGTCAATCCTTGTGCAACATCCGGTTTTGTTATTGCCCCTACAGACGTCTGAATCCCACATGCGGACACCCCAAAAAATATGGAAATTTTTGGCGTGAAAGCGATCTCGAGAACCAGACGAAATAGAGAGCTAAAACTTGCAAGGATATTCATTGTGTATGTGTAAGCTAAACATTTCAAATTCAGTCTTCAGTTGTGCACGTTTCTCACATATGGGCACGTGAAAATTTTGGCGAGGAAATTGCTAACTTGGGAACCAAAAAAGCTGGGAGGCTGAAATTTTAAGGGGACATCACCCGTCAAGTAAAACTTAAAGATTCTAAATTCAGCTCCCAGGTACGAGCGGTACTCGCGTACGAGCATATAAAAGATTCGGCGGGAAAATTGCTCATTGAATAGCTTGGTCATTTCCAATGAATGACCGTTCAACGGAAATGTAAAATTTACAATGATTTGCGCTAGTGGTCGTGCAAGGTAAGTGTAATGGAACAGTTACTCACACAGTCAATAACCTGATTGTTTAGTGCAAAAACGTATAATCATACCGGCAAGCCTGATACTTTCCGGGCTGGGTTTTAAAACATAGCATTGCAGTTTTTGGCTCGCGCGCCACATACTATGACGCACTGAAGTAACACAGATTGTATTCGAGTACGAAACATTCCTGTTGCTTCGAGCTTTAAAAATTGCTTTCATTAGTTCGTTAAAGCTCCAGATGTTTGAAGTTCAGCTAGTAGCACTCTGCGTACTGCAGCGACCATATCATCTGGCATCCTCAGAGCAATCGTCCGTTCTTCAAATAACTGGAGCTAAATTTGCACAAACCCTATCTGCTTCAAATTTATCTACTGCGAGAAATACATTATGTAGGTCAGTCCAATGAAGGCTATAACATTCTCCTCCTACAGAGCATTTCACGATCATTT